GTAAGTCTAATACAGTACTGTAATTTTATACATTTCTTGTGAAAGAAACATTTCTTATTCAACGGCGATTAAAATTATTTATATTAATGATGTCTCCAAAGTTCAACGAAGTTTTCGCAGAAAAATAAGTTATCAGAAATTGGCCGCGGTTTGGTGTGCTGCTTCGTGACGAAAACAAGCTTTAGCAACGGCGATGTTGAATGGTGCACACTCGGTAAGTAATCCTACAATTTTTTGTTTATAGCGTAGTTTATACGGATTATTCCCAAAAATAATATATGTATTTTGGAAATGTTGAGTCGGATTAGTCTAGAATTGATTAATTTTATGGAAGAAAACCTTTCAAACAGCCATAGTCCGTAAACTTGACACGTGTCGGGCTGTGATTGGAAGGACTCGTAAGAAATCGGATTCCTAAAGAATGGAACGTATCTACTGTCTTATAGGGGGGTCGACTGTAATTTGTTTTTGTGTATTTCATTTGATAACAAAATTAAATAATTTTCATACAGAAAAACAATAGAGAAATATTTTAAATTGTTTTCATTTAAATACATTATTAAAATAAATGTGACAAGACACGTATTGTTTTAACAAATATTAAACTATACAATGAAAAGTCTTCTTTGACCATGTTCACACCCCAGGAAAGTTATTTTATATTTTTTAATTGTGCCATTACTGAAAGGAAGTTTTTAATGTTTTGCATAATGAAGCGGATGAAGCATCCTCCAATAAAAGGTCAACTCTGCCGTAAGACTGTTATTTTCCTGACATGTGAACAAGGACAAAGAAGACTCTTCATTGTATAGTCTAATATTTGTTAATTACAATTATTTGTCCTGGCAATTTTTATCAAACATATTATTTTATTTATAACTAGCTTACCCGTCGCGCATTGCTGCGATCTCAGAAGAAACGAAATTCAAGCAAACTCGTTATAATAAAATTCAACTTACATTTTATTATTTTNTCAGAAGAACCCAAAGGAAAGCTAACTCGAAAATTACAAATATTTGAATAATTATATTTATTAACTAACACGTGCAAGACGACTGTGTTGCGAATGGTCGGATAAACCATATTTTCCATCATAAATGTTTTTAAAAATCACGTTTAAAAGTTTGAATAAATACATTTTAATCTTTTTTGTGTGTGTCAATGGAGAGTCTTAAGTCCCCGTAGCCCACCATGGATCTGCCCCCGGTTTGGTTTAGATTTTATTCCTGAAACGTTAGCGCAATGGACTATGTGGTCCGAATCATAACAATGTATGTATACGAGATTTGATTTTACATCGCCCATCATAGATGAGAAACGGGTCCTAACCAATGAAAATTTCATTTATTACAAAAAATCATCATTAATTATCTGTAGAAATAATTGAAATGTTTTATTTCCAGTTATTCTGGTTCAGAGTATTCAACGTATTTTACAATGAAGGAGCGTTCATAAATTAAGTATCACCATTTTTATGCTTTTCAATTACCATTCACTCCTATAACGTTATCGCACTTACTCACTCCCAAAATTACTTAACACATATCCTCGATGTACAGTACTCTTTCAATTGTACTAAGAAATAATACACGACAATAATATCAAACAACACCAATCGAACGTTACGTTATTTTATTAATATCACGAATAACGAACAAAGCAATAACGTAAATGTGAAACAACACTTAAAGAACAAAAATGAACAATTCTGCAATAACCCAAGATTAAATTAGCAATTATTTAATACGACATTGTCATAATGCCGGGCTGCAATTTTTATCTTATTTTTAATTTAAAATATATCAAATTAGTAGTGGCTTGCCCCTGTACATCATACTTTTCCTTTAACAATACAGTCGTGCGGGTCATCTAACACCTTTCAGGGAAAATTTTTGAATTGAAGTAACGTGACTTCCGTTTTGCATCGGAAGTTCGTGTATAGTTAATTGGGACCTCCTTCCCCTAATGTCTCGTCTTTCATATATCTAACTCCGTTCTCAAGATTAAGGAAAGACAGACGGACGGACACTTGTCTATAATTTTTTCAAATTGCAGCTCAATAAATCGATAACTGTCTTAAAACTTTACTAGATAAATCATATTTTTTTAAAAATAAATAACTTGCCGAAAGTGTATCGTCTTTTGTCTCCATTATCTTCTATTTTAAATTTAGATTAAGAAGAAATACAACTTAGTTGTTATACAAGACTCTGCAGCTATTATTAAGACGCTTAATTGTTTCATCAAATTTATTGTTTATGTTTAATGTATTGTTTTATTGTTACCAATACAAAGATCAGGTTCGTACAGTAAATGTAGTTTCAGGGTTTAACATTTGATTATAAAATTCCATGATATCCCTTTTGGAGCTCTCATATTTTTCCCAATCTTTTGATATTTGTAAGATGGATGAAAATTATAACAATTCTTTATCTGACCATCCTTAACTATCTAAAACATAGGAAAGAAAAGTTGGAAAACTTTATCTATATGTGTTTAAACTCTGAAGAATGGACATAAAAATCATTTATTTTAAGCAGTATACACAAATTTGTAATATTGATAATAAATATGTTAATTTTAAATGAATATATTCATATTAAAAAAATACATTTAATTGAAATTTACTCACCCATTTTCAGAGCTAAATTGATATTCCCCCGAAATCAGTTCTAATTCATGCTTCCAAAATTTAATATAAAAAGTGATCATGCTATAAAATCATTTGGAAAATTTTTAACGTGTTAATTAATAGTATTATCCATACTGGCATTAAAAGTAAATCGTAGAGTTTGTAAGAATATATTATTGTGAAAAGAATAATTCAAGTGGAAGAGTAAGAAATCTGGAAACTACAAGATAAATAACCACAGTTAGAGGTAAATATCAATAAACTGGCTTATTGGTATTTACGTCTAGCTGTGATTATTTAAGAGTAAAAAAAGTAAAGATTATCTTATCTTTTTTGCAAAAAAAAAACTTTTTATATAATTAATAAAAAGTGGGCTGAATGCTAAATCATACCCTTTGTATCAATAGAAAGATGTATATTGTGAAGTTACTGTATGGTAGTTTATTGGATCAAATGAGTGTTAACAACTAAATTTTAATTTAAAATTTATTTTATTCTGATGTATTTTCAATAATATACATTCACTTAAAAAAAGGAAAGCATATATAAGAACATTAACTATGCTTCCAGTATACTAACATTTGATCTGTATTACATTCAATTCTGAGAAGCATGTAAAATTCACAAATATTCAAACAGAATTAAAATTTTTCCAAACCATATAATTTATTTTTTTTAATTCAAAGGGAATTTAATTTTCTGATAATTAAATTGATATGTTATTGTTTTCAATGCCACAATAAAATTTATAAGAGTTTTTCAAATAATATTTTTATAATTATTTAAAAACAACATTATTTAATCTAACATTAATAGTTAAAAGTAGGAAATATCATTAATTAAAAGTAAAATCAAAATAAATAATTAAATAAATAAATTCAAAATTTTGAAGATTAAAAAATGAAATAAAATTTGAAAATGTAGAATTAAAGCTAATGAAAATCTACTTAATTTTTAAAAACTAATTTTCACTTTGATTTAAGATTTAGATATTTTATTGTGGCAAGATTTTATATAGTTATCAATAGGTGTTCTAATAGATTTAATTCTATATTTTTCTATTGATAAAATAAATATCTTCTGTAACATTTTTTAATAATGATGTGTGTATATATATATATTTTTGTTTTTTCATTGATAAAAATTCAGTGAAGCGTAACTTTATTGATATGAAAATGAAATACAAATTCAGATGGATGGACATGTATTTACAATTACTGTGAAAATACACCATATTAGATACAAAAATGTCCATCTTAGAATATGGTGTTTTAAATATGATTTCTAGTCAGTTTCTTAATGTTGTACTTAGATGTATCAGTCTTCTTTCAAACTTGTTTTCAAGGCTTGGCAGTATGCAACAAAATATGATAAATAAATAAACTGTAGTCCATGACAATAGGATAGGACTACTAATAAAATTAAAAAACAAAAAAAGAAAAACGATTATGATAATTCTCTACAAGTGTCTATTGTAGAAATTTTTGATACAGTACAACAACAACAAGAACAACAACAAGAACAACAAAAAGATTTTTCTGCAGAAAATACAGGATTATGCCATCTTTCTTGGCAATCACATCTATGGACAAATTACAGCAATTTCTTATCTTGAATCTTACATAACATACATGGATCAGTTGTCTATCTAAACATAATTAAGTTGAAGATAAACAATCCTCACTAAATGTTTTCTTTAATCAACCACACGCTTGTATTTACACTTAAAATTTATATGGCATTAGCCTGAATTAAGGCAAGTTGCACCATTTTGAACACAGTCACAAAAATATATTTTTGTATGATGCTGTTAATATTTTTGCACTTTTGTCTTAGTTTGATATAATTTGCACCATTATTATTGCCGATAACAGATGATTGAGTTTTTGATGGAAGTTTCGATCCATACAGTTAAAGTATGTGGTTGAGACTGTGTGTGGAAGAAGAATAACTCTCGGCACATGAGTCGCTTAATGAGATATGATCGATGATTTCCCCATCTTGAGAATTCAACGTCATCGTAGAAAGATGATTTTCTCTTGCATGCCTCCTATTACATGAGAGTTTAGTATCGTCAAGTGAAAATCTACTTGGTTTGATTGTGTTGTCTGGACAAGAATGTGCCAACTGATTGATATTATTATTATTTTCTACCACTTCTCGACCAAGAAGTTCACAAGAACCAACATCACTTGGTGAAGTGGACATGTCATCTAGAAAATCAAAGCATGCCACTGCTTCTCTTTCCTTTTCTCCATAACGATAATAGAAATCATGACGATCTATGATTGAAGCCCTCATACGAGGAATAAAACTTATAACAGCATCTTTATCTGTTGCTATAAACAAAAATATATGATTTAATTCCTTATTTAAAAAAATGACAGAAAACTGATATTATTTTATTATACTTATTAATCACTATTTAATGTTAAATTTAAGAATGCAAAAAGAAGAATTTTAATTAAAATGATAAAACTCTAAATTTATATTATAGTAAAATTTACTATATCATACCTCTTTTTTTGTGTCTCCTAAATCTGTGAAGGGCATGCAATCTCTGATGATGTTTATGTTCTAAAACTTCATCTTCACCTTCTTCTTCTGTCTCACTATTACTACTACTGCTGCTGGCCATCATTGAGTCTAGAAGATTTGCTCTTGCCTAATAAATACAATTTAATTATCACTTCAAGTATATAAAATTATGGGTTTACTAAGAGAAGTAAAGAACTTTTTCAGAAACAACAAATTGTTACTGATACTAATGTTTATGAAAACTACAATTTCTACATAATTAATGCATTATAGTACAGTTGTCCCTCTATAGTCCGACGTTTTTTAATCCGACATGCTCAGTAGTCTGACGCACCTCCCGTCAAGGTACCCGTCCCCGTTACGTGTCTGCTTGCACAGAAGCATGTCGTGATGTGAATCTCCCCACCCAATTTTTACACGATGACACACATTTTGTGTGTTTTATGTGAGCAGTTCTGTTCGAACAGTTGGAGTAGAGAATATTGTAAGTTACTGCTAGCAAAACAATGCGAAATATGTAATTATTTTCGGTAATCCGGAAACTTTTGTGTGTTTTATGTGAGCAGTTCTGTTCGAACAGTTGGAGTAGAGAATATTGTAAGTTACTGCTAGCAAAACAATGCAAAATATGTAATTATTTTCGGTAATCTGGACACTTTTGGTAATCTGACACACCTTTGGTCCCATACCTGTCGGATTATCAAGGGACAACTGTAATTAAATTTTTATAACTTATCATATGTCAATAAATCAAGAACAGTAGTCAAAGAAGTTATTCCTTTGAAAATGTTTTTGAACTAATTTTAATTAATATAAGCACTTCAAGTAGATACAATTCAAAAAACCAGATTTTTAATATAATTAAATGCCAGTTAATTGGTTTTATATTATATATTAAGAACAGAGATTTAGCTATGCTGTATGAGAATGACAACCATTATGTTATTTATTTTTATAGTATAGGTAGACTCTGAACTACTTTTTCAGTACTAGAGTTAGAAGTTCGCATGGCTTTTAAAATAATATATTATCTCAAAAATTAGTTATTAATTCAATACTAAAAATGAAAATTACTTCAAATTAAAAACTGCTCTCTATCACAAGACAACCCTCCTGGAGGAAAGGCTATAAAACATATAACTTGATATTGAACCTGAACCTTAATGGGCTGAAAGGAATACTGAAGCATAATTTCCACAGGAGAGTGACCTGAATTAACTGATATATTTGTTCTATGCTGCATGTTCTATTGGAATAATTGGTATGCTTGGCTATTAGATCTTTCAGTCAATTTTCACTATATTGCTAGACAAATATAACTTTTTTTTATTATATTTAGCAATTAGTATTAATCATTACTAAAATACAGATAATCAATTGAGATGAAGAAAAAATGTATGGTTTGTGGAAGAGCAGTATCAAAAGATGAAATCTTATATGTAATACACTATTATTGTATAATTGGGCTGCAATTTTCAAATTGCAGACCTATAAATTTCCACTTTTATCTGTCTTACTGTCCTTCATTAATCTTGAAAACAGAGACCGGATACAGAAATCTTCGGCGCAGATGTCTCAATTTTTAAATTAAAATATCATTAAAAATTGAAGCTCAACATTATGGTAATATCACAATAAATAATTAAGATTTTTCAGTTTGTTATTTTATAATAAATACAGTAGACCCCCTATAAAATGGGTTCCTATAATTACGATTCCTATAAGACAGCAAAAAAATTGCAATGGTATCCATAAAAAACAATAAAAAAAACTCCTATAATTACGTAAAACGTCATCGGGCAGCCGAACTATTACTTTCTGCGCCGTCAAGCACCACGCTACGGAGAGATTACTATCGTCTGTACAGTATTATATATAAATTAGGTACTGTACATATAATTATATATTAATTATAAATAAATTAGGTATTGTATATATAATTATATATTAACTTAATTTATTGTAACTTTATTATAATTATATATATA